TTTTGAGACGTTACCAAACCACAGTGGAGGCTGAACACAGACCACTGTGAAAAAGTACACACACTCCAGGAGCTGGTGAGATGGGTCATGGGCAGACACTGGCCACCAAACCTGACGACCTGAGTTCAATTCCTGGGACCCATTTGGTGAGTGGAGAGAGCCAAGTCCTGCAGATTGTCCTCTGACCATCATGTGTATGCCCACACACATACACAAAATACATTCCAAACCAGAAACGTAAGATTTGTTGCTTTGAACAAAAGTATACAAGTAAGTGGCAATACACCGCTTGGTGTAGTGGACACTAGTACTTCTTCATCACTCCACACACAAGTTCTGTACCCAGCAATACCCTACCCCTCTTTGAGACGTGTCTCTATAGCTCCAGCTGTCATGGAACTTCTAAGTAGACCACAATGGCCTTGAACTCAGATCCACCTGCCTCTGGAGTGCTGGGATTAAAGGTGTGTGCCCCTGGCTCAGCCTTCCCTTTCACCTCAGCCCCTTACAGCCTCTGGTACATTCCCTCCTTTTTTCTCCTACCTCCTCAGCTTTAAGTTACTGTCTAGTATCATGTTAGCCTTGAGGACTATGCATTTCCTGCAGGGGAGATGCAGAAGCACTGAATGTTTAGGTTTGTTTGTTTTGTTTTATTCTGAAGGAACTGTTTTGCTAGATAGTTTTCTGTTGGTTTTTTTTTTTTTTAACATTCTAAAAAATGTTATCCTACAATCTCCTGGCCACGGTGGTCTGTTACCAAAAACTACTTGTAAATCTTACTGAAGATCCCTCTACCTACTCTTTGGCAGCTTTAAAGATTCTTTCTTCTGTGGCCTCTACTGTCACATGTCCCAGTATGAGTCCCTTTAGAGTTTAAGAGTTTAGCATGCTGTTGTGGGACGCTCTGGAATGAGCACTCTGACACCAGAGAGTGGATGAGATGTCACCAGTGGGCCAAGGCCTGGATGGCCCTGAAAGGCCTCGGTGCTGCGTCCAGTTGGAATTCTCATTGTATGCTCCAAAACCACAAGCTGGGGCGGGCAAGCAAGCAAGAATTGTCAGGTTATTAATGGCAGTGATCCATTGTTTCAGCTCTTTCTCCAGGGCATTCTGTTCCAGGTAGCAAGTGAAGTCGTGCTTGGCAGGAGGCAGTATTAGACAATGCTTTAAGTGAATCACTATATACACACACACACACACACATATATACATACATACATACACACACCCCAATAAAGCAGTATCTAGTAGTTGGTCTTCTCTACCTTACTCTTTCAATGCTGTGACTTTGTGCTTCTTGGAAAGTTTTTACACTACTTGGGAGGGTTTCAGGCATTATTTCTTCAAATACTGTGTCTGTCCTGAGACTGCCATCTGTAATGTTAAGCTCAATGGGTACACACTCCAGACTCTTGTCTTTTCAACAAAATACTTGAGCATAGAAAACAGGATAATAAAAGCTTTTGAAGTTTTTTTTTCATCTGCCTCTGACAGAGGCAGCTTGGCTGTGAGATGGAGGGGTGGGGCAGGGGTACAGGGAAGGTCTCAGCCATCTATCTGCCTAGGGTGCAGTGTGCACACTTTGGGCTGGGGCAGGGGTGCAGGGAAGGTCTCAGCCATCTGCCTAGGGTGCAGTGTGCACACTTTGGGCTGGGGCAGGGGTGCAGGGAAGGTCTCAGCCATCTGCCTAGGGTGCACTGCGCACACTTTGGGCTGGAGAGCAGCTATTTCAGAGTAACTGTTTAAAGTGATCGAGCTAGGGTTGTACAGTGGTAATTTAGGTACTCTAGGATGGGATCATTTTATTAGGCACCAAGTGGGTCCTGATGGGATGGCAGAAAAACCAGTATTTCGGTTATTGCATCTGTTACTGGGATAGAGGAGGGACAGATTGCAGATCCGAACTGCTTCCCATGATGCCACCAAAGCATATGAGGAGAAAAAGAAATACATGGCAAACAGCCAAAAATTGCTCTGCTCAGTAGGAAAACAGGAATGTGAAAACATGATCTGTTCACTGAGTGCTTGGAAGACTGGCTGTCACTGTCATCTCCCTGGCTAAAGTTTATCAGCAAACATACAAACTAAAGTGACCAGGGAAATGGGCAAGCTAATGCCAGTGTCACCTTGTAAAGAAACTTGGGGCTCATTATAAAGCATGTGGCATCATTGCAACACATCAGTTCTTCACAGATTTCAAATTATTTTTGGAATCTCAGTAAATTAAATCTAAAGTTTGTATCAAGACGCAAAAGACCCAGAATTACCAACATAACTTTAAAAAAACAAGAATACCAGGCCTGGTGGTACACACCTTTAACCCCAGCACTCACTCCAGAGGCAGAGGCAGGTGGACCTCTGTCAATTTGGGCCAGCCTGGTCTACACGGCAAGTTCCAGGCCAGCCAGGGCTACATAATGAGAACCTGTCTCAAACAAGTCAAAGGGTGATATGACCTGACTGAGAATTACTGTAAGCTGCTTTGGCCATCAAGACACGTTTTTCTTTTGTGGCGCTGGGAACTGAATCCATGCTAGGTAACTGTTCCACCTCGGCGCTACATCACCAGTCTTTGGTTGACTGACTCGTTTGCTTGAGCTACGGTCAATATGTAGCTCAGGCAATCCTGCTGTCTGCCTCCAAGTGCTAGGATGGTGTGTGCGCATGTGTCTCTCACACATGGCTTGGGGTGGAAGAGGGGACAATAGAACAGGGAGCCCAGAAGAGTCACACAATACAACTGATTGATTTGGGAAACGGAAGTGCACCATGTGTTCCTTTATCATTTGAGACCAACACCTACGAAATCAACTCAAAGGAAGAAAGACAACTTAGCTCAGCTTGAGCCCAGAGCTGGTGGGCCTTCTCTTTTTCCCTTTCACTCTGCATATACCCCCAGGTACGGGAGGTAGGTCTTTCCCCCTTGGCATTTCGCTCTGGAAATGCCCAGTAGTGTCTCTCAATCCAAGTAGATAAGATAACCACACACACACTATATATATATATATATATATATATATATATATATATATATCAGAAAGACAGTCTTTTCAATGAATGATCCTGAACTACTGAATATCCACATGCAAAAAAACAACAAACCTACACACAGACTTTTATAAACACCTTCATAAAAACCTTTGTAAAAATCAACTGAAACTGGATTATAGACCTCAATCTGAAACACAAGGGCCAGTAAGCTGCCCCAGTGAAAAAAACATGCTCACCTCCAAGCCCAACTGCCCGAGTCTGATCCCTAGAGCCCATATGGTGGAAAGAGAACCAACTCCTACAAGTTGTCTTCTGACTTCCAAATGTACACTGTGGCTCACACATCCCACCACGATAAACACATGTAACTAAAACAAGACATACTACTAGGTAACACATTTAAATCTTTGTGTGTGTGTGTGTGTTGGTACTTGAAAATTAAACCCAGGACCTTGTACATGCCAGGCCAGTACTCTACCACTGAGTACAGCCCCTGTAGTGACACTTTTAAAAAACAAAAAACACCAAAGGCATGATACACAAAATAAATAATTGAGAAGCAGGGTTTTATTAAAAGTAAAAAACGTCAGCTTTGAGCAACTGTCAACAATGAGTGAACAGACCAGAGAATAGGATAAAATCTGATAGACGACTGGTCCAAAATACGGAAGAGGACCTTAAAGTTGAGTGATCAGAAAACAATCCAGTTTATAAAATGAACAAACACCAACAGTGAAGAAATACAGGTGGCAAGCTGGGCATGGTGGCAGAGCAGAGAGGTCATGAGTTCAAGGCCACTATTTCAACATTCTCAAACAAAATACAGAGAAGGCGAGTATAAAAACAGATGCCCAGCATACTTCATTGGGGATTACAGATTAAAACAAGGTACCAACACAACAGAAATCCCTCATGACAAATGCTGCCAAGGATGCAGAACTGCAGAACTCTTCCTCCTGGGAGGTGGACAGTGTGTGCTATGCAAGGCTGGTAGAGCCTCTCATAGCCCCAAGTATGTGCTGACCACACGTCCTATGGTTGAGCTCCCTGGTATCCACAGGAATTAAAAACTCACACCCAGGAAAACTGCTACAGACATTGCTTCAGGTTTAGTGACAATCCCCAGTCCAGATGCCCTTCAGGACAAGTTGTGGTTCTTCCAGAAAATGGAATGCTGCTCACTGAGAAGAGCTGAACAGTCAAGTCACGAACTCACACAGAGGAAACTTAAATGCTCATTAGTACATGAGGGAAGCTAGCCTGAAAGGCTGGAAAAGGAAAACCCACAGAGAATAGTCAACAGGCCAATGGATGCCACGGGATCAGGGAGGAGGGGATGAACAGAGCACATAGGATTGTTTTTGGGTAACAAAGCCATTCTGTACCACAATAATGGTGGACACAGGCCATTGTACATTAGCGTTTGTGACTTCAGCAAACAGCTGTTCTCATCCGTAAAGACTGCATGAGACCAATCATGCCAAAGAGCTTTTCAAACTGTCACACGCACAGTGCAACTGCCAGGTTACTTCTCAGTGCATCTAAAGCATGTCGTGGTGTGTATGTTTCAATGCATAACCAAAGCTTCTCGCTCGTTAGCTCTTCATATTCATGGTTAGGCCATGTCCCTGTGTGCAAGACACTTGGCTCCAAGCGAGAATGGGGGGTAAGAGTCCTGATCCCAGAGCTGTCTGTTCCACATGACACTTGCCATGGGGAGGAATGACTAACAGCTGCAAAGCTACCCATGTATGCACAGGGGCGTTATACAGTTCCCCAGCCAACACAGCGCATTACCAACATCCACTGGTTAAACATGACAACTGCCAGGAGTGGCCCCCGAACACGGTCTGCAGATCAGGACCAGCAGCTCCTGAGCAGAAGGCACTTCTGCTGAGCTCCTATGTTCTGACGCCTAGTGATGGCACTTCCTCTTTCCAGAGCCAACACTGAGACATCTGGGGAGATCAACACCTTGAGTTCATTGCACACGACATCTACAATGAGACCAAGAGCTAAAGTAGAAGTTTATTGACATCCATTTACGTAGTATTTTACACACACACACCAGTAGAGAGTCCTCAACATTCAACTGACTCTTCTAAGAACTGCTTCATGAGAAAATGCGTTTCTTTGCCCTCCCCCAAGAAAGATACTTCTGCTATTTATGATCTTGAAAATAATGCATTTGATTACACCACCTTCATAAAAACAGTCCTTAAGACCTCTGCAAACAGTGAAGATATACTAGCAAAGAACCTCTCCAAAATGCAATGCTTCACAACAGAGGTGTAGTGCAAGAGATACAGGAAACGGGGACAACCCGGAGGCTGTGCCCACACCTAGAGGAGGGCACCACAGAGCTGAGGCCACAACTGGGTGGCCCTAGCTTCGGAGTGTGGCCAGCCGGGACTGCATGGCCTCCAGGTCCTCTTCATCCTCCTCATCCTCTCCCTCTTCTGATGCAGCCATCGCTCCCATAGGTTCAGGCTCAGGAAGGGCGTCGGTTACTTTACTGGGTGCTTTGCCCAAGGCTCCTAAAGAGAGAGTGAACAGCTTAAACACACTTCATAAGAACAAGGCCCTCGGTCTTCCCAGCCTCCTCTCATTCAAGGACCGCAGTCCAGCTGCTGTCCAGAGTGGGAATTTGCTTCCTCTGACTGCACATCTCAGCAGAGAGAAAGAACAGTGCAGATGGACAGACGGACTTGTTACGTTGTCCTGGAGTGATCCTGCCTCAGTCTCCCAAGTAGCTACTACTACAGGAGTAATACCACCCCCACCCCCAAATCTTAAGAATTTTAATGTCTAGACTATTGGGCAAGGTGCTGTATACTTGAGACCACATACTTGGGAACAGAAGGGTTACTTTAGCTCAGGATTTTGGGGCCATCTTGGGCAAAATAGTGGGACCTCATCTCAAAAAAAAAAAAGTAAGTAATTCCAAAGTTCCTAGTTTAAATTTCTAAATACTACTGAAAATCTAATTTTTTTTGTTTGTTTGTTTTTCGAGACAGGGTTTCTCTGTGTAGCTTTGCGCCGTTCCTGGATCTCGCTCTTGTAGACCAGGCTGGCCTCGAACTCACAAAGATCTGCCTGCCTCTGCCTCCCGAGTGCTGGGATTAAAGGTGTGCGCCACCACCGCCCGGCGAAAATCTAATTTTTAATTTCTCTGAATAAAGTTTAATTGTTGAAGCCAGACAGGGTGGCACAGGCCTCTAATCTCAGCTAACTGGAAGCTCAGACAGGAGGACAGAAAACAAGGTTTACCTAGGCTACAGAGTGACGTTCAAGGCCAGCCTGAACAACTTAATGAGCCCCTATCTCAAAATACAGGCTGGGAAGATAGCTCGTGTCGACTGCTTGTTTGATGTGTGGGAGGGCCCAGGTTCAATCCCCAGTGCCACAGGAAACAAGGTCAAACGAACAAGCACATTGTTAGGCAGGTGTGGTGTGCACACCTGTAATCCCGTATTCCAGATGAGGCAAGAAGAGGGTTTGAGACCAAAGAGAGACACTTCAAAACACCAAAACAAATCCAATAAATAAAAAGTAAAAGAAAAATGTAAACTATTTCTAAATTTTCATAAAATATTTTCTCAAAATACCTTTTTTCCAACAATTTAAAACAAAAATTAAAACCCACCATTTTATTAAGCATAAAATTCAGAAAACCCAGAATTAAAAAAGTTATAAAGGCCGGGCGGTGGTGGCGCACGCCTTTAATCCCAGCACTCGGGAGGCAGAGCCAGGCGGATCTCTGTGAGTTCGAGGCCAGCCTGGGCTACCAAGTGAGTTCCAGGAAAAGGCGCAAAGCTACACAGAGAAACCCTGTCTCGAAAAACCAAAAAAAAAAAAAAAAAAAAAAAAAAAAGTTATAAAGTTCCCAGAAATAACTATTTTTGTTTATTCCTATATTTAACAGGCATGTTTTATACTAAAGTCGAGTCTATACTGACTCAAATTCCTTACAGCTGTTTTCAGCTAATGTGAAAATCAGAAACTAAAAATCCTTTGTTTCTTGAAAACTGAATGTTGCTTTACTGGTACTGCTTTAAGGTATTCCTTAGGAAATACCTTGCATACTCTAACACAGGACAAATGCAGATGGAGCCAGTGTGACTGACCGGGAAGGGGTGAGACGGGGAGCATTGGAGGGCTCTCCTGGCCATACCTGCTGTGATTTCAAAGAGGATTCTGTCGATCTCCATTTCTGCTGCTTCTTCCATTTCTTCCTGGTCATCCATGCTTTCAAATGTATCCTCTAACATTTCCTCTATGATTCCAGCCTGAACAGAGAACAAAAGGCCACCTCCCTCAATGTTACATCTGTTCCCAACACCCCTGGACAGCAGCAGCAGGAGTTCGAGTCTCTCTGTGTCTAGGCCACCTTGCCCAGGTGACAAGGAAGACAGGTGGAAAGGAAACCCTGGAGGATGGCCTCTCTGCAGACAAGGACCCAGAGGGAAAGAGTGCTCTAGACTCACAGGGCTGGAGCCTGCAGCTACCGGTTCCTGCAGAACCCCGATTATGCAGCAGTCCTCAGCAGCACCCCCGAGCTGCTTGGAAAGCAACTGGCCTAACACTGCAAATAGGACTGAGAGGGCAAGGGTTGAAAACTGGTTGGAGCCACCAGAGACAACAGGGTAACAAAGGTGTGAGCCTGGAGGGACTAGAAAATGCTCAAAAAAACATGGCAGCATGGCAGGTCACTGCTGCTGGAGGAGGTTAGCTGCTGGTGGGTGGGTGTGCTGAGTATCAGCCCATCACCAAACCCTGATCACCTCTTCTTCTCAAGCGAAGTCAAGAGTTCCTGACCTACAAAGCAAGGCCAGTCACTTTACTGGAAGCCTGTGCCTGGAAGCCTGGCGGTCAGCCTGCTTTTCAGAAAGTAGCAAGGAGGTGGAGGGATGGCTCTGTGGTCAAGTGCCATAAAACTTGGGGACATCTTCAAATCCCCAGAACCCATTTAAAGAGCTAGGCATTGACAGCCCACATGCACCAGCTCTGCAGGAGGGGAAGTGTTTTGGGGAGGCAGGGTGGTCTCTGAAGCTACCCGGCCAGCCTGAGGAGCTTCAAGTTCAGTGAGAGTCTATCTCAAAAAAGCAGTGGAGAGTAATAGAGGAGGGTACCCAATGCCAACATCCGCTTCCACATGCAAATACCCCAACACGTGTGTGCATACCATCATCCAATAGTGCTCATCCATGTGTGTGCATGTACACACTTTAGAAACAAGGAAATAGCAAGGGACCATTGTGAGACGCCAACAAAAAGCTCTCCAAAGTCCCCAGCTCCGGATGAGGCCACTCAGTGTCCGTTAGCAGAGCAAAGGGTCATTAAAGCACCCTCCCATGTCAGAAAGGGGTCCCAGACGAGCGGCAGAGGGAACCCTCGTGTCCTTGCAAACCAAGAGGCACCGGAGGCAGGGATGGCTCTGGCCTCTGCTCCTGTCCCCGAAACCCACTCACCTGCCAGCCTTGGTGCTTCCTGACCCAAGGTGACGCCATGACATGATCTAGCTAGTCCTAGCCCAATCTTAGCTCCCTTCCCTACTCAAATGAACAAACTCCTGTCATGGTCACCAAGGTGGAGCCCCACAGCCTAGCTAACTGGAAGTTGTTTCGATGCTGGGGTCTACTGTTCAACAAACAGTACTTGGGAGAGGCTGTAGCATGAGGACTGTTTGTAGCTTGTCTCAAACAAAACCAAACCCTACCAACTAAGTAAAACCAAAAACTCAAACAAAAAAAGGAGATCAATAAATAACTGTTGCTGTGGATGATTGATTGATAAAGTGTTGATTAGCCAGTAGCCAGGCAGGAAGTATAGGCGGGACAAGGAGAGAGGAGAATTCTGAGACGTGGAAGGCTGAGGCAGGGAGACGCTGCCAGCCACCAGGAGGAGAAACATGATGGATGTAAGATACTGGTAAGCCACAAGCCACGTGGCAACTTATAGATTAATAAAAATGGGTTAATTTAAGATGTAAGAACAGATAGCAAGAAGCCTGCCACGGCCATTCAGCTTATAAGTAATATAAGCGTCTGTGTGTTTATTTGAGTCTGAGTAGCTGCCAGCCTGGGCAGGACTGGAGATAACTCTAGCTACAAACTGTTGATTGGTTAAAAGAACTTAGCCGAATCCAAACTGTAACCGCCCTCCTCATTCTAAAGAAAGAGGTTATCATTTATCTACTTCTCCATTTAATCAGCAGTGATTCATCAGATTCCAGGCCTGTGTAACAGAGCCAGGTACTGGGGACAAATGCAAAGTCTAAGAACATGTCCCCACTCTTTTAGAGCTGGGTCACTATAGACAGCCTCAATATACACCCAGTCATGTATCACTATTGGCCTCAGTCCCTAGAATCTACAATATACAAGCTCCCTTCAAATCATACTTTTAGTGTTCATAAACCACTGTGAAAAAGATCTGAAAGGTTTGTTTTTGTTTTAATAACTCATTCACTCATATTTTGGGGGCTACCTAAGTTAAAGCATGCAGGCCTGGAGTCACTCCAAGAATTACGCCATCATCTGCCTCTACTGCATAGTGATCTCCAGTCTGAGTACATACCAGATATAAAGGACATGCCCTCCTGATCCATTCCCTGCTAACTGCTGTTGCCCAAGCCTCTTCTTTCTAAAGAGCTGAGCCCTGGGCTCTTACGATATTTTTCTATCTGTTCTTCTCCAGCCCCTCCACACCCCCTCTGCCTGTCCCCAGTGCCCAGTGTATGGTTCACATTCACAGATAAAACACACTGCAATGCACAAGGAGATCCACACACAGGAATTTGAGTTGTATACTCTTGGTTGTCAAACCACAGGTCTAAACAGCCCTCATACAAGATGTTTGCTCATGATGAGGGCAGACACACCTGTGGTCCAGCTCCCGACTTACAACCTGAGACACCTTGGGTTGCCTGGTAACTTCAAGACTCAATGCCCTATGTAAAATACCCCAAAAGAGCACCGAGAGAAGAAGATAGGCCAAACTGCCATGTGCTATCAGCAGTGCTTCAATAACAATGCTCTCCTCTCATCCCTGGCCCCGTCTGGGGGCCACTAATATAGTTCCCGCCACACCCTTATCCTGAGGCTGCCAGGTACCTATATACTTTCCATTTGGTTCTCAGTCTCTCCTTTCTGTGGTTAAAAAAATGCATCAACAACTACAGCCTGCAGGCCAGATCTGGTGTTTCCCAAACGAAGAATTTGGGCCACAGTCACTTCATTTAAATGCTATCTAGGGCTGCTTTTACACTGACAGGCAAAGCTGAGTTGTTATAAGAATGGCCATCAAAGCTAACACGTGTTTGTTATCTGGCATTGTAGAGAATGCAATCACCTCCCTGCCAGCTTCACTAACACCTTCAGAGCAGACAGTAAAATTAATGTTTCTCTGTCTCTTCCCTCCTGCTGGAGCCCACAGACTACATCACTGGATGTTCCTCCTCTGGAGATCTAGGCATGTGTGTGCTTCTTCCCCACACTTACAATTCCACCCGGTCTCTGCTATGCTTTGCACAGCAGTGGTTTCAACCAGATAACATCTGCTCCTCTTCTCAAAACACTGTGGAGCAGCCGTACCCTCCCCAGTCACAGCCACGCAGCCACAGCCCCAGCCCCAGCTCAGAGGACTCTCAGTGGTTTGGAGACAGCACAACCAGCCCAATCACCTTCATCATCTCTTTGGACAGCTCCCGCATGGTGGCCTGGATTTCTGGGATCTTCACAAGACTCTGCATAGCCTTCATCACTTCTGTGCTCTTTTGCAGGGAACCAGCTACTCTTAGGACCGCTGAAAAGGAAAGGCTGCATCACCCAGGATTGTTCAAAAGTCAGAATGTGCAATGAAAGAGCCCAGCTCAGGGCCGCTCTAGCAGGTGGACTACCAAACTCACTGCCATGCCTTTATGATATATTCCTGTGCTAGATATCTGAGAGGTCATTCTTTGAAACTAAGTCCTACCTAGGTGTGCTGAGCAGTTTTATGTCATCTTGACACAAGCTAGAGTCATCTCAGAGGAGGGAACCTCAATTAAGAAAATGCCTCCATAAGGCCAGGCTGTACACAAGCCTGTAGGGTGTTTTCTTTAATTAGTGATTGATGGGGGATGACCCAGCCCATTGTGTTGGCACCATCCAAGGACCTGGCAGTCCTTGGTTCCATGAGAAAGCAGGCTGAGTAAGCCATGAGGAGCAAGCCAGTAAGCAGCTCCCCTCCATGGCCCCTGCATCAGCTCCTGCCTCCAGGTTCCTGCCCTGCTAGAGTTCTTGTCTTGACTTCTTTTGATGATGAACTTTGATGTAGAAGCAGAAGTCAAATAAACACTTTCCTCTCCAACTTGCTTTTTTTTTTTTTTTTTTTTTTTTTGGTGTTTCATGGCAGCAATAGAAACCCAAACTAAGACACTGGAGTATTATGGTGTGAACTCTCTTGAGCAGTAACACCAATGGGCCACTGTGGAGAGTGGTCTGAAGGTCTACAACTGACCATCAGGGAGGGAGACTTAGTTTGACACCTGGAGACGAGCTGCAAATGAGAGGCAGGTTCTACACTAAGATATGGACCACAGTAGAAAACAGAAGACTTCCAGCTACCCAAGCACAATCTCCCACCCACTAGATGATGGACAGTGCCTGTTCTGTGAAGAACCTGTTGCTGGTCCTCAGAAAAGTGAGATAAACAGAGGTAAAACAGAGTAAGGTTATGTGGGTCAACATACAGGTACCGTTCCTTGCTAGGGAAAAGCCTTCTGTGGTCTCACACTGTATATCTCTTCTTTCCAAGAAACTGTCATAAAAGCAAATGGCCATTCCTCTCTCGGTGTTCATTATTAACATGTCAAGTAAAGAAGTGAGCAACTCTCCTAATGTGTTATGGAATTTCAAAAGATTTCAAGTTCCTAGAATCACTCACTTACTATAAAGCAAGCTGTTCACTGAAAGCTACACACTTTTCCTGTACTGCAGTACCTGGTTAAGGCAGGAGGCACTGAAAATTTAACTTTGGCAGAATCCAGACCCCAGGAAGCTTTCACATCTGCATAGGGTGAGCTACCTGGGACTGAAGAGCTCGCCCTGGTGATAAGGATGAAGGAGAGCTTGCAGGCTGACCAACCTAGCAACCACCCAGGCCCAGAACCAGGGCTATGAGTTGGCCCATCCCAACATCCACCCCATCAATGATCTGCTGGAGCATGGGAAGGGGCTGGTTCTGCAGACCCAAAGTTGCAGGACCTCCAGTCCCAGTGAGGGCCTAGTATTAATAGTGTAGCAGAAACCAGAGGCCTCGGACCAGATCAATGACTCACTGCAATGAATACTTGCAAGTAAGATATATGAACTAAAGAGTTTACTGTGTGACTGACTCACTGTTGTCACACTGCAGCTTCCACAAGATTACTCTTTTGTTTGTTCTTTTAAATTTTATTATTTTTTTTATTTGGGGGGAGATGAGTGGGATTGAGATGCATAATGTGAATTTCACAAAGAATCACTAAAAAGTTAAATAAAAAAATCAACATATAAAAATCAGTAGCAGTTCTTTTTCTTTCAGTGCTTCCTGGCTTCTTGCCAGTGTTTTATCTCACCCAAAGCTCAAAGCAACAGGGCCAAGTAGGCAAGGATAGAAACCTCCAGAACTATGAGTCTGGAGTAAAACAAATTGTTTCTATGGACAAATAATGAATCACCTAGAAAGGAAATAAAGAAAACAATCTCATCTACAATAGGACATGAAAATTTAAATACTTAGGAACTTTTATCATAAGAATATAAATTAGTACAACTACTATGGAAAATTATACGAAGGCCATCCCTGCAGGCACATAGCTATAATTTCAGCAACTGAGAGACAGAAACAGGAGGATCACCCTAAGCTTGAAGTTAGCCTAAACGTACATGGTGAGTCCTAGGCCACTTAGGCTACATAATAGCCAGGTTATACTGCAAAACTGTCTTTGTTAGGGCTACTATTGCTGTGATGAAACACCATGACCAAAAGCAACTTGGGGAGGAAAGGGTTTGTTTGGCTTACATAGCCTGAGTCATAGACTACTGAGGGAAGCCAACAGAGGAACCCAGGCGGGGCAGGAGCCGATATAGAGGTCATGGAGGAGTGCTGCTTACTGGCTTGTTCAACCTGCTTTCTTATAGAACCCAGGACCAACAGTCCAGGCATGGTACCACCCACAACGGGCTGGGCCCTCCCCCATTAATCACTAAACATTAAGAAAATGCCTTACAGGCTTGCCTACAGCCCAGTCTTATGGAGGCGTTTTCTTTTCTTTTTTCTTTTGGTTTTTGGTTTTTTTGAGACAGGGTTTCTCTGTAGCTTTGGAGCCTGTCTTGGAACTCGCTTTGTAGACCAGGCTGGCCTTGAACTCACAGAGATCCTACTGTCTCTGCATGGAGGCATTTTCTTAATTGAGGTTCCCTCCTCTTGGGTGACTATAGCTTGTGTCAAGCTGATATAAAACTAGGCAGGACAAAGAGTCTGTCTCAAAAGACAGACAGCAACAAAACAAAAAACCACAATAAAATGGTATAAAGATTCTTAAAAACACCGAAGAGTACGTGACCTAGGAACCCACTTGCAGACACACAGTAGAATCAGTAAAATGAGAATCTCAAAAGGGTATCTGAGTTCCCGTGTTCACTGCAGCCTGAAACAAACCCACCGCTCATCAACATACGAATGGATAAAGAGAGTTTATAAACTTGTTTGGTTTGAATCTGAAGTGTTGTTCTCCCCACCTCTACCTTGACTCCCACCCCCAGCCCAATCTGCTTTGGCTCATTTTAAATGCTAGATGCCTAGTAGTGGCACTATTTGGGAGGTTCTGGAAACTTTGGGAACTGGGGTCTGCCTGGCAGAAGTGGGCTATTAGGAGAGGGCTTCTGCCTCTGTAAGTTAGATCCAGCCCCGGTGTTCCTCATGCTCTCTGCAGCCGCTAATCCAATGTGCTCTGCCCTCTCTACCGTGTGGACGGGAATGTCTTCAAGAGTCCAAATAAACCTGCCATCCATAGGTCAGGGATCTTGGTTACAGTGACACCAAACTAATAAAACAAGAGAATACTACACTCAGCTTTAAAGGGGGAGGAAGTCCTGTCACTCATAACAATACGGATGGATCTGGAAAACATAAACATCAGTGGAATATGGGAGACATGGAAAGCAGATGGCACACACCACCTACATGTACATGCTAATAAAGCTAAAATCATAGACGTGGAGAACAACGGCTCTAATGGTTTCCAGAAAACGCCAGGCACAAGGGACTTTGAAGGGGATAAATGAGTTTTTCTGACCAAAGGGTGCCAAGTGCCACAGAGTCAGGAGGAACTGCTTTTGAAATGTATTTTGCACAGTAGGGTAACTGTAGTCAATAATAACATATTCATATATTTCAAAGTAACGTAGAGTGGGGCTAGAGGCACAAGCCAGTGGTAGAGGGACTGCTCAGCATATGCATGGGGTTCAGTCCTCAGCACTGTGACAATGTCAAAATTCCAGGCAAGTGAGATGGTGAATATGCTAACTGACCTAGCAGATCAAAACCACATTTCATTCTTTCTTTTTTTTTTCTTTTGGTTCTTTCGAGACAGGGTTTCTCTGTATAGTTTTGGTGCCTGTCCTGGCATCGCTCTGTAGACCAGGCTGGCCTTGAATTCACAGAGATCTGCCTGGCTCTGCCTCCTGAGTGCTGGGATTAAAGGCGTGCGACATCACTGCCCCAAAAACACATTTTATCCTGGAAATAATTATAATTATAGTTTGTTAGTCAGAAAATAAATAATTGTATGCCAAGTACATGGTAAAGTATTTCCTTTGAGGTTCTGGACTCACACACATGTGCATGTATATATGTGTATAAAATAAAATAATGTTAGACTAAAACCAAAATCCTGTGGGGTAATTCAGATGGTGCTCTAAAAGGAGCTATGGGGAATACGGGGCTGTGGTCCCACAGGTACAATTCTACCTTTCTGAAAGAATCCTAGAGACGATAAAGAGAACTTGTCTGACAAGTGGTGACACACTGTGATTACTCACAGCAAGTAGACAACAGCCACATCCATTTCAAAACCACACAGGAAATGGAGAAGCTGACTTCCCATGGGAGAACAACCCATGCCAGAAGGAGAGGCACAGTGAGTAGAGAGCCACAGTTGTCCATTCACACGTTATCTTCCAGGGGCCAAGGACACCACGAGCCTGGACTATGCATATGCTGCCCCACAGTGTCACCCAGATGGACAGTGACCCCACCCTCCTCTCCTGTAACAATGCAGGTTCTGTATACAGAGAAAGTGGGGCTGAAGCCCAAACAGGGTATGAACATATACTTTATAAACTGCTGCGGTGTTTTTAAATAATAAGCCCATACTCTGGGTCCTTAGGTATGTGCGGCTGTTCTCTAACCTTCGTTGGGAGCTGTGTTTAAGGCTCATCCACTGGAGCCTATGTCAGAGTTTTCTCCTCTTTAAGGATGAGTATTATTTTGTATGTGCATGCTGTATGTCCACAAGTATGTACGGATCTGCATAACCTGAACATGAGGAGGTCAGAAGACACTGGGTTTTCTCTTCTACTGCTACTCTATTTTTTGAGACAGGGTTTTTTCCTGAACATGAAGCTTGCTATTTTGGCTAGGCCTGCTGGCCAGCCAGTAAACTCCTGGGATCTGCCTGTCTCTTACCGCCCTCCATCCCACGCTGAGGTTACACGTGTGAGTGGCCCTGCTCAGCTATTAATAGGTGCTAGAAATTCAAGCTCATGTTCTCGTTTGCA